ATTTATTTTTATTTAAAAAATTCATAAAATAATCATAATAAGTATATTATAAATTGATAAATATTTAATTAACGGACAAATACGTCTATTTTAGAGATTAAAATATACTGATGAACTAAAATAATTAATTTTTTAAAGCTTAAAAACTAAAATAATATAATTTACTAGTTTAATAATTATTTAATTTTTATTTTAATTAAGATTATTTTCTAATTATTTTTCTAGATAATATTAAAATTTGGAGTCAAATTTAAAAAATAAACACCAAATTTTCAAACTAACAACTATTTTTTTTTAAAAAAAATTATATCAAACCAAAGTAATTATTAAAATATATATATATATATATATATATATTAGGTAAATAAATACACTTTTTCTAGTTAAAAAAATATTTAAACTTTAAATTTTGAATTTTGTATATAATAAATTTAATTCATACAAATTTTAAAACTATCAAATAATTTACTATATATAATTTTAAAATTTAAATTTAATAAAAATCTGAAATTTGAAGGGTTAATTTTGTAAATTATTCATTTTGATTAAATAAAAAAAGAATTAGCACCCAATATATATATATTTTTTTAATAAAAGAAAATTCAAATTACACTTTTCAATTGAAATGAAACGACGTCGTTTACATACTAAACAAACTGCAAACCAAGAAACGAACATTGGCGCCAAATCTGAGAACACTTTCACCATCTCACAGATTTCCCACAAGGAAAAGCCCTAACAGAACCACCAGCACCGATGCTCCCATTGAAGCCACCACCGATCCGGCGCCGGAGCCGGCAAAGCTCCCACCGTGCTCTGCGGTGGTGAGAATCACCACCATCCAGTCAACGTCCACGCCGAGGCCGGCGCCGACGAACTTGGAATTGTTCAAATACTGGGCGTACTGCGTTTGCGTGTAGTTGGCAAGCAGCATAGGCTCAACCATATCCGGCACGCACACCGGCATCACGATGGCGTCGGCGGTGGTGTTGAGGTCGACCTTGCATTTCTCGGCGTAATGCTCGAAATTCGCGATCTGCGAGAGGTGGCGTGCGGTGACGGTTGAATTAGCGGTGGTAATGTTGCAGGGATGGTCCTTGTCTACGTCGGCGATTTTGTCTGCGATGCAGCAGGCTTTTGCGTTCTTTTCAAACGGCGGGAGCTTCTGTGCTTGTCGGTAGCCGTTTAGGCCTTGCAGAAGGTTTTCTTTATCTTCTTCAACTGCAGTCAGGTAATTGGCAAATTATTTTCAGAGCATTCATTTGCAGACTGTTGTCCTCCATGTTTGAAGAGCTTGTTTGATTGTTTTTAATTTTCTTAATCAAAAGATTTAATTTCATTTGAAGTACTTATTGGATGATAAAAATTCGAGAGCCGACTTAGGGAATGATAATGGATTTATAATCAAGGAATACTATCTCCATTGGTGTGAGACCTTTTGGGAAAGTCCAAAGCAAAGTCATGAGAGCTTATGCTCAAAGTGGACAATATCATACTATTGTGAAGAGTCGTGTTCATCTAATATGGTATTAGAGCCATGCCCTAAACTTAATCGTGCCAATAGATTGGTAAATTCTCAAATGTCGAACAAAGGACTCCAAAAAAAAAAGGAGTTGAGCCTCGATTAAGGGGAGGCATACTTTGTTTGAAGGGAGGTGTTGGATGATGAAAGTCCTACATCGGTTAATTTAAGAAATGATCATGGGTTTATAATATCAAGGAATACTATATCTATTGGTATGAAGTCTTTTGGAAGTTAAGTAGACAATATCATACAATTATAAAGAGTCGTGTTCATCTAATCATCCCTATCAAATAGAGAAGTATTTTGTATCAGATTAGATTAAAAAACAGTTATCTAAGATATTCTTACAAGTTTTGTACAGATTGATAGCAATGAAGGAACAAATTCATTGTTATGTTCCCAAAATTGGAAGGTTTTTGATTGCTTCAATGCTCAGACTGTCATTTCCATATAAATTCCTAGAGAAAAATGCCTTTTTCTTGGTTTTTTCAATCCCCCATCTCTGGTTCTGGTTAGAAATTCTGATGGATATACATATATATAGAAATGTTGGTGATATACATATATATAGAAATGTTGGTGATGAAGAGAGAAATTTGGTAGAATTCTTTGAGAGGAGAATTTTGTAAAACTATGAAGAAATGCTTGATTGATTTTCTACTTCTTCCACCAATACCAACATACATATAGGTAATTTTGGACATTCTCCGTTACCATTCATTATCCAAAAGTCATGCATCTATTTAATTAGGAACGAATGAACCTACATATATCTATTCATACACGTACTTATACATGTATCTATACATGTACAAGACCCTTCAACACATGTATCTATTCATACATGTATCTACTGGTGACCCTTCAACACATGTATCTAGTCATACATGTATCTACTAATGACCGTTCAACACATGTATCTACGAGTGACCCTTCAACACATGTATTTATGAGTGACCCTTCAACACATGTATCTATTCATACATGTATCTACTGATGACCCTTCAACACATGTATCTAGTCATACATGTATCTACTAATGACCGTTCAACACATGTATCTACGAGTGACCCTTCAACACATGTATTTATGAGTGACCCTTCAACATATGTATCTACTCGTGATCCTTCAACACATGTATCTAGTCATACATGTATTTACGAGTGACCCTTCAACACATGTATCTATTCATACATGTATCTACTAGTGACCCTTCAACAAGAAATTCCTAAATGAAAAACGGAAAGAAACACGAACCCAGAAAAGCATGAGAGAGGGAGAGGAAACTGTACCTTTAAAGGAGAGAACAGGAGAGGAGCCGAAGACGAGGAAGGCAATGGCGAAAACGCCAAAGAGAGAGAAGGAAGAAGAAGAAGAAGCCATTGGTGGATTTGAGTTTTGAGAGTGTATTTGTGCTGTGGTGAGTGGCTGAGTGTTGGGGAGTTTGATTCTTTATAAAGGGTAGAGGGGAGGAAACGACCTTTATTCTTGTCTCCGGGTTTTGCTGTGGATATTCCAGATGGCCTTCAGTGAAGGAGGACTTTGGACTCTAGATTTACTTGTTTACTAAGCAAAAATAGTGGGCAGGTTACTCTCTTAAGCTTTGTCTCCGGGAATTGTTGTGGACATTACATCTGGCATCCAGTGGAGGAGGAATTTTGTTATCCAAGATTCCAAACATAGCACACACACATTCTTCCAATTCCTTCCATCTTCCAATTATATCATATTTAGGTTGGAGTTTACTCGTTTTTGAAGAGCCGTTTAGCTTGAAGTTTTGTTGAACGGAAATAGACATACCTTAACAGAACCCATGTTACTATTTTTTCCTATTATATCATATTTAGAAGGTTGGAGTTTTCTCATTTATGAAGAGCCGTTTAGTTTGAAGTTTTGGTTAACTAGACTCATGTTTGCTATACCGTTTTCAATTCTTGTATAGGCAAGTCGAACCCATGTTTGTTACTAGTTTTTAAGATTTACATAGACTAGCTAAACCTTGAGTGTTACATAGTTCTTAATACTTGTATAGGCAAGTCGAGCCTATGTTTGTTATACAGTTTTCAATATGTGCACAGACAAGCTGAACCCATGTTTGCTATATAATTCAAACACTTGCATCAAAGTCTTCAACACTTGCATAGACTAGCTAAGCTCGTGTGTGTTGTACTGGCAAGTTGAACCCAGGTTCGTTACATAGTTTTCAACATTGGCACAAGCAAACTGAACCCATGTTCTTATACAGTTTTCAACACTTACATAGGTAAGTCGAACCTAAGTTTGATATACAATTTTCAACACTTGCATAGGTAAAGTCGGACCCAAGTTTGATATACAGTATTAAAAATTTGCATAGGCAAGCTGAACCTTTGTTTTATTTACAGTTTTCAACATTTGCCTAGGGTAGCATACTCCACGTTTGTTACACAATTTTCAACCCTTAGGACCCATGTTTGTTACACGGTTTTCAACCCTTTATATGCACCATATTTTTCTATTGACTAATGTTTTCCATTTGTCTCTTCCTTTCTTTGCTTTTAATTTTGTCTATGAGTTATATTTTGAATGTAGTTAAATAATTAATTAACTAATTGATATTACTTTAACAAAGTTGATATAATTAATTATTTAATTTAATAAATCAATAATAATTTATTGAGATATTTACTTAATTCATTTGTAAAAATTAAAAGAAAAAACAATTGGAGGAATGTGATTTCCTTTGTAATATAGTTAATTAATTAATATATTAGTTAAATTGAGTTAATACAAAAATTCATTTTTGTAATAATTATAACTCATTATTTATTGATTATTTATAATTATTTATTGGATTAACTTTGATTATATTATTCATCATTATCCTATCATAATTTGATTATTTATAATTATTTATTGGATTAACTTTGATTATATTATTCATTATTATCCTATCATAATTTTAAATTTTTTTTCTTGTTTATTACAATATATTTCTGTATACTATTTAATAACAATTAATTAATTTAAATTAAATTTATAATCAATAATATTGAACTATTATTATTAAAATGTATATTCTACTGTCATAAATAAATAAATAAATAATCATATATTTATTTAATTCATTTTTACTGGTAAAAAAAATATTTTTGTGAATTTATGGCACTCGTATATTATTTTTACCTGTAATATCTCGTTTTGAGTTAGTATTACAATTACAATTTTTATAATAGGTAGTTCTTTTGTATTTGTATGTTTATGAAACTAATTAATGCTTTAATTGGATTATTATATTAATTATTTATCAAATGTTATTAAATTATCTATTTGCAAATAATTATTATAACTGATTTATAAAGAAATTTAAAATTTTAAAGTTGTCATATTAGTCCTAATATATTTATTAATAAATGAAAGTTATTTTAAAATTTGACTTAATAAAAATAAATCAACTAATAACAATTAATTATTTAAGTTATCATTTTTTCCTTTTAAGATAGTTATTTCATGAAAAACACTTGTGACTCAAAATAAAGAAAAAAATGTAATTATTGTGGCAGGATGCTTGAAATTTCCAGAACCCGACCGACATGTCGTTTGAGATGCAAAGGAAAACGGTCCTCAACCAGAGAGAAGAAACAACCCCAACAGCACGGATGACACCAAGTGAAAATGTCGAAGACCCAAATCAGACAAATTCACGGCAGAAGAAAAGCTTCCGGGAGGCGAATCGGTGGCAAAAGCGAACACTACCCATTGTTCATAACTCCCAATTCCGACCGACGTGAATTCGGGTTTGCTCCAGTACTTAGCCGTTTGGGAATTTGTGCATTCATGGAGAACAAGATTCAATGCCAAAGTGGGGATATGGAGAGGCAAAATCAGGCCATTTTTTGTGTGATTGAGCTCGATTTTGCATTTGGACAGGTAGTCGGGTAGACTAGGTAGTTGGGAGAAGTTGCTTGGTGCAATGGTGGAGCCGCTGAGGAAGATGCTGAGGGGCGACTGGTCGTCGAAGTCCCAAGCGATTTGCTTGACTAGGCAGTCTGCTTTGGAGTTCTTGTTCATGGGGGTAAGTTTTATGGACTTTCTGTAGCTGTTCATGGCCTGGAAAAGTACGTCTTCTTTCACTGCAAATGATGGATGATTTAGGTGTGAGTTTCTATGAGATAGATAGTATATAGCTGTTAGGAATCACGACTCTCCATAATGGTATGATATTGTCCACTCTGAGCCTAAGCTCTCGTGGCTTTACTTTGGGCTTCCCCAAAAGACCTTGTACTGATGGAGATAGTATTCCTCACTTATAAACCCATGATCATTCCCTAAATTAGCCAATGTGGGACTCACTCCCAACAATCCTCAACAATCCTCTCCCGAACAAAGTACACTATAAGCCTCCCCTGAGGCTTATGGAGCTCTCGAATAGCCTCCCCCTTAATCGAGGCTCGACTCCTTTCTTTGGAGCCCTCGAACAAAGTACACCCTTTGTTCGACACTTTAGTCACTTTTGACTACACCTTCGAGTCTCACAATTATTTGTTCGATATTTGAGGATTCTGTTGACCTCCCCTCGAACAAAGTACACTATAAGCCTTATCTGAGGCTTAGCTCGAATAGCCTCCCCCTAATCGAGGCTTAACTCATTTCTCTGGAGCCCTCGAACAAAGTACACCCTTTGTTCGACACTTTAGTCACTTTTGACTACACCTTCGAGGCTCACAATTATTTGTTCGATATTTGAGGATTCTATTAACATAGCTAAGTTTTAGGGCATGACTCTGATACCATGTTAGGAATCACGACTTTCCACACTGGTATGATATTGTCCACTTTGAGCATAAGCTCTCATGGCTTTGCTTTGGGCTTCCCAAAAGGCCTCATACCAATGGAGATAGTATTCCTTACTTTTAAACCCACGATCATTCCCTAAATTAGCCAATGTGGGACTCACTTCCAATAATCCTCAACAATAACAAATGATGTCTATGGATAATGGGGAATTATCAGTAAAACAGCTCAACAGGAAAGAACCCATCAAAGACAAGGAACTATGAAGCTCATATATGTTTGTGTGTGTGCTTAGAGAGAGAGAGAGAGAGAGAACCATTAGGTCCATCGCCATGTACTGAGCACGACAATAGCAGCAAGCCATGGGCAACACAGTAGAGGAAGAAGCCAAGTTTGTGGGAGGGCAAGGCCATTATGCAGCTGCAGGAGGGTCAAGGAGAAGGCATCAGGCTTGCTTGGACAAAGAATACGAGGTTCTTACCTTTTTTTTATCCTTTTATTTGGGTTCTTCCATTCTGATCTCTTTAGAATTTGCTTGTTCTAGCAATATTGCTTTGCTTTATTCGTGAAGTGTATAAGCTTTCCATATTACACTTTATGTGTTCATTAGTCATTCCTGTAAAGGCGTATAGGTATGAAATCCCACCTACCTCAGTTCTAAAATTGTCTTAACATAGTTCAGAAATGTCTTTGCAATTCCAAATGTTGTGTTATGAACTGTATAGATGTGGACCTGCTGGGATATATTCTTGCTCATTTGATTAAGGAAGGGTGTTGAGTTTCTTTTTCTCAACGTGTTTCATTTTCATTTATTCTATGCACAATATTCCAAACAGTTTAGGTGATGCACAATTCACAAGCAAGCAAAAACATATTGTAGTTCTGATTTCTATCAATAGGCATTCATATTTTAGCTTCGGATTTCGTTACCTTTTGATGATTTTGATCTTCCTGGTTGTTTTTTTGGGGGATTATCGGTATCTAAGCTTCGTTATAGTATCGTTTTATGATCGTACAGGAGGATTCTTCATGTGTTTCCTTCCATATGTTTTATTTATTTCCCTTTGGCTGCTCAGCAGGTTCTTTTCTGAAGTTGGGGTTTCTTCTTTTGTTTACTTTTTCACTTTTTACTTCCTTCCCCGATATGGGCACTGGTTCAGCTTTCTATCATAAGATGTTCTTCTTGGGATTTAAAGCTGATTCTATTAGGCTGCTGCATTTCTATTCCCCATTTTCCAATGATAAGATATCTCTTCATATTAGTCAAGTGAAGAGCTCTGTAAGTGTGAGATCCACATCCACATCGGTTGGAGAGGTGAACGAAGCATTATAAGGGTGTGGAAACCTCTCCCTAGTAGACGTGTTTTAAAACCTTGAAGGAAACTCAAAAGGGAAAGCCCAAAGAGGACATTATCTACTAGTGATGGGGTTGGACTATTACAAATGGTATCAGAGCCAAACACTAGACGGTGTGCTAGGGAGTACGTTGGGCCCTCTAGGGGGTGGATTGTGAGATCCACATCGGTTGGAGAGGTGAACGAAGCATTTCTTATAAGGGTGTGGAAACCTCTCCCTAGCAGACACGTTTTAAAACCTTGAGGGAAAACCTGAAAGGGAAAGCCCAAAGAAGACAATATCTACTAGCGGTGGGGTTGGACTATTACAAATGGTATCAAAGCTAAACATTGGACGGTGTGCCAGGGAGGACGTTGGGCCCCTTAGGGGGTGGATCGTGAGATCCACATCGGTTGGAGAGGTGAACGAAGCATTACTTATAAGGGTGTGGAAACCTCTCCCTAGTAGACATGTTTTAAAACCTTGAGGGAAAACTCGAAAGGGAAAGCCCAAAGAGGACAATATCTACTAGCGGTGGGGTTGGACTATTACAAATGGTATCAGAGCCAAACACTAGACTGTGTGCTAGGGAGGACGTTGGGCCCTCTAGGGGGTGGATTGTGAGATCCACATCGGTTGGAGAGGTGAACGAAGTATTCCTTATAAGGGTGTGGAAACCTCTCCCTAGCATACACGTTTTAAAACCTTGAGGAAAAACCCAAAAGGGAAAGTGAGATCGTGAGATCCACATCGGTTGGAGAGGTGAACGAAGCATTACTTATAAGGGTGTGGAAACCTCTCCCTAGTAGACATGTTTTAAAACCTTGAGGGAAAACTCGAAAGGGAAAGCCCAAAGAGGACAATATCTACTAGCGGTGGGGTTGGACTATTACAAATGGTATCAGAGCCAAACACTAGACTGTGTGCTAGGGAGGACGTTGGGCCCTCTAGGGGGTGGATTGTGAGATCCACATCGGTTGGAGAGGTGAACGAAGAGGGAGGACGTTGGGCCCTCTAGGGGGTGGATTGTGAGATCCACATCGGTTGGAGAGGTGAACGAAGTATTCCTTATAAGGGTGTGGAAACCTCTCCCTAGCATACACGTTTTAAAACCTTGAGGAAAAACCCAAAAGGGAAAGTGAGATCGTGAGATCCACATCGGTTGGAGAGGTGAACGAAGCATTACTTATAAGGGTGTGGAAACCTCTCCCTAGTAGACATGTTTTAAAACCTTGAGGGAAAACTCGAAAGGGAAAGCCCAAAGAGGACAATATCTACTAGCGGTGGGGTTGGACTATTACAAATGGTATCAGAGCCAAACACTAGACTGTGTGCTAGGGAGGACGTTGGGCCCTCTAGGGGGTGGATTGTGAGATCCACATCGGTTGGAGAGGTGAACGAAGCATTCCTTATAAGGGTGTGGAAACCTCTCCCTAGCATACACGTTTTAAAACCTTGAGGAAAAACCCAAAAGGGAAAGCCCAAATAAGACATTATCTACTAGCGGTGGGCTTGAACTATTATAGTAAGTTGACCGAATGATGTACAGTTATAGAATAGAAAGGAAGAAGATAAAGAAATAAATTCTTCAAGCTGTTCCATATTGTATAAAAGTGAAGGTGTACTGCATTACATGACTCCTTGAGATGTTCATTGAACGTAAATCGTAACATGTTGGAGATGAAAGGAAACAAGCGCTCATTGAACGTAAATCGTAACATGTTGGAGATGAAAGGAAACAAGCGCTATTGATCCTCACCAAAACAAAGAAATGACCCCGAAAACAATAAATCCCAAGCAATAAACCCGACCAATATTTTGAATCTGAGAGACACCAGCAGAATAGCTGCCACCAAGTGCATCAGTACCCAAAGCAATCACCAAACAATCTTTATTTTTTGCAAGGCCTACCCTTGTATAAGTTGCATTACCCAAGTACTTTGAAGCCTGAGAATGTTTGCAGCCAGCAAGCACAAGCCCATCTTCTGAGTTAGGCACGTATATGGGTAAAATAACAGCGTCTAGTGTATGATTGAGGTTAACTTGGCACTTGCTTGAGTAATGAGTGAACAATGGAAGTTGGCTTTGGTTCGATGGCAAAAGGGCGTCACCGTTGATGGTTCGACTGCAAGGCAGTTGGTTGTACAATTTCTTTGCGATTTGTTCTGCTATACATTGTGCTTTGGAGTTTTTGTTGAGATACAACTGGCTTTGTGAGTTTTTGTAGATGTTAAAGCCTTTGAAAAGCTCTTCTAAATCAACTGCAGGTAGACAGGTATTGAAGTTTCACTCATAAGTTAATGAAGATGTAACGAAGATGTAACGTCCTAGATCCACCGCTAGCAGATATTGTCCTCTTTGGGCTTTCCCTTTCGGGCTTTCCCTCAAGGCTTTAAAACGTGTTTGCTAGGGGAAAGTTTCCACACCCTCAGATCCACCGCTAGCAGATATTGACCTCTTTGGGCTTTCCCTTTCGGGCTTCCCCTCAAGGCTTTAAAACGCGTCTGGTAAGGGAAGGTTTCCACACCCTTATAAATGGTGGTTTGTTCACCTCCCCAACCAATGTGGGACATCACAATCCACCCCCCCTCGGGGCCCAACGTCCTCATCGGCACTCTTTCCTTTCTCCAATCGATGTGGGACTGCCCCCAAATCCACCCCCCTTTAGGGCCTAGCATCCTTACTGGCACACCGCCTTGTGTCTACCCCCCTTTGGGGAACAGCGAGAAGGCTAGCACATCGTCCAGTGTCTGGCTCTTATACCATTTGTAACGACTTAGATCTACCGCTAGTAGATATTGTCCTCTTTGGGCTTTCCCTTTCAGGCTTCCCCTCAAGGCTTTAAAACACGTCCGCTAGGGGAAGGTTTCCACATCCTTATAAATGATAGTTTGTTATCCTCCCCAACCAACGTGGGACATCACAGAAGACATGAAAAAGAAGGTCATTCATCATTATGAAAAGAATTGTAAGTTTGACTGACTTTATTCACACTTTTATATTTCTTTGATTTCTTTGATGAATGTGCCTAGAAAGATGACTTCCTTGTGCAGGCTTCGGCATAATAGTAGAGCAAGTACATGTATTAATAGAATAGGAAAAATGTGTTACTCGTCATTAATATGTTTGTTCTTGGTAATTGTAACCTTTTGGGAGAATCGATGACTGCATCAAAGATGCACTTGCTAGTACTAGTACATATAAGAATTCTTAATTGGCTAGTTGTAAATGGACCCCGACTATGGAACAAAGGATTATCTCAGACCTGGAGAAAAGGGTGCAGCAATTGTGACCTCTCGGGAGAATCAATGAATGCATCAAAGGCGCACTTGCTAGTACTAATACATCTAAGAATTCTTAATTGGCTAGTTGTAAATAGACTCAGACAGAGGAACAAAGGATTATCCCAGACCTAGAAAAAAAGGTGCGGTAATTGTGACCTCTCAGGAGAATCGATAAATGTATCAAAGATGCACTTACTGGTACTATTACATCTGGGTATTCTTAATTGGCTTGTTGTAAATAAACCCAGACGGTGGAACAAGGGACTATACTAGACCTGGAGAAAAGGGTATGGGAAAAACCACAGATTTTGTACTTCATGCAAAAATTTGGGGATTAAGAATTGTTTTCTGTGCAGTCAATGAGTTTTACAAACTTAGAGAGAGAGAGAGAGAGAGAGAAAAAGAGCTAACCTTCACCGTTCACTAAATGTAACAGAGAAAGCAAGCAGTGCAGAAGAGCACAGAGGCTGAGGCAATGTTTCAGGAAAGCCATGGCAGTTTCAGCAAACAAATAAAAGAATCAATCATTTTATATCTGAGTATTGCTTGAGCTGTTCTTTTCATTTTCTTTAATGTTTTTGCCTTGGCAGTGAAGGTAGCGAAATTCCGGTCCCAACTGGTTCACATATTTGCTGCCATTGGAACCCGGCAAAAAGGTTAAAGAACAAGAACAAGAACAAGAAAGAATAAGAAACGGCTCATCCTTAACGATACTCGAAGCTTGAAGGGTAAACATGCGAATATCGGATTAACTTGTTCATTTAGTTAGATTTTGTCAATTGATTTATCAAGAAAATGGATGAACTGATATTGTTCTTTGTGTCGAATCACATATTTTGGTTATCCGAAGTCTATTGTAGATCAAATCCAATACTTTAGCTACATATTTTATGCTCAATCTGCTTCATTTTGACATGATGTAGATGGATTCGTCATGTCCTTGAGAATTGAGATGTCCACAATGGGAAGGGACAGGGATAGCTTTAGTAAAGCTGAGGTCAAGGCATACCTTGGCAAGCACACCAAAAAAAGGAAAAAAAGAGATGAACTTGCCTTTTGAAGCATATGTTCCTGGTTATTTGATCAAGCAAATGTTCCAAATGAAAGCAATTTAAAGATCTTTTTGTAATACAAGGAAGGAAATTCAAACCTCCAACGCCTTGTTGAATTATGCTCATGTACTCGTGTTTATAAATACAAAGAGTTCGATTTAGAACAATAGAATTAATTTGTTTTTCAGTTAAAGCTAGAACTTGTCGATTATAACCTAAATCTTATGGCGGCTGTCATGTTGATAGAGACTTAACACATTTTTAGTTGAAATTGAAATGAGTTTCATGTAGTGTTAGGAACCACGAATCTCCATGATAATATGATATTATGATAATATGATATTATGATAATATGATATTATTTACTTTGAGCATAAGCTCTCACAGCTTTGGTTTTGGTTACCCCAAAAGACCTTGTATCAATGAAGATAGTGTTTCAATAATTCAAGATAAGTCAATTAAAAATCTCGACCAACCGACCTAGACCAAAGATAGCCCTCTGAAAAGGCAACTATTATTTTGAAAAATATTCAAGTAACATGCACGGAGTAATCAGCTAACGAGTCTTAATAAAAGGAACAAAGGGAAAAGAGTTTATTTCATTCAAAGAACAACTTGAGAATTCAAGATGAATCACCAAACAAGATCTCCGCCCCTCTTCCTCCGATCCCAGCAATGAAGCATTCGAATCCACACAACTCGAGCTCTGCAATTACTTTATCAACAACTATCTCTGAAAGTACTGTTTCACAAAGTTAAGAAAACACAAACTTGTAATGACAATAACAACAATGTCGGTTAAGATATCATTTTCGTCTACCTAGTTTGTTTTCGTTTCAATTTAATCCCTATGATTTCGTTTACGCCGAAAAAGGATACGGTTAGGCAACAGTGTAAGAACACAGCCTCCACCTCCAGCTCCTGTCAATTTGGAGACTAGCTTGTATTTTAATGTCGTTCGGAGGACGGTTTCAATAGTTGCATGGCTTACGCCCATCGACTGAAGTAAACCTTGATTCATTTCCATCAACTCGGCTAACTTTTCTTCGTTCGCAGTTAGGGAAACGTCGTCATCGACCAGTGACTGAATAAGGATCGATACTTCCTTGCTTACAGAATCGACAGCTTTAAACACAGAGTTCATGGCATCAGGATGTCTGATGGTTCTTTCTGCAACACCAGCAACTAAAGCCTTTGTGTTTCTTCCAACTTTTGTGTTTGTAATGAGCATTTTCAGTGGCATATTGGATTTAATGAGGGTCAAATTGCCTGACCTGAACTTGATCATGCTGCCTGATACATAAGAGTTTCTGACGTTGTTTACTTCAACTTTGAATGAACAAACAAGTGATAGTATGATATGATTGTACTCGAAAAATAAAAAATAAAACCTGTAGCACAGTTGGCCCGTTATGTATCGCCGTCAGCCTCACGGTTTTAAAATGCATCTCTACTGGGGAGAGGTTTTCACACCCTTATAAGAAATGTTTCGTTCCCCTCTCCAACCGATGTGGGATCTCACAGTCCACCCCCTTGAGGGAAGCCCAACAACTTTACTGGCACACCGTCCGGTTTCTAGCTTTCATATCATTTGTAATAGCCCAAGCCAACCGCTAGTAGATATTGTCTGCTTTGGCCCATTACGTATTGTCGTCAGCCTCATGGTTTTAAAACGCATCTACTGGGGGAGAGGTTTCCACACCCTTATAAGGAATACTTCGTTTCTCTCTCCAACCGATGTGGGATCTCACAATCCACTCCCCTTGTGGGGAGCCCAACGTCTTTGTTGGTACACCGCTTGGTGTCTGCCTTTGATACCTTTTGTAATGGCCAAAGTCCATCGCTAGCAGATATTGTCCGCTTTGGCCCTTTACGTATCGCCGTCAGCCTCATAGTTTTAAAACATGTCTACTGGGGAGAGGTTTCCACACCCTTACAAGGCATGCTTTGTTCCCCTCTCAAACCGATGTGGGATCTTACAATCTACTCCCCTTGAAGGAGACCCAATGTCTTTGCTATCACACCACCCGTTGTCTGGCTTTGATACCATTCGTAATGGCCCAAGCCCACCGCTAGCAGATATTGTCCGTTTTGGCTCGTTACGTTTCATCGTCAGCCTTACGATTTTAATATGCATCTACTGGAGAGAGGTTCCACCCTTAAAGGAATGTTTCGTTCCCTTCTCCAACTCATGCTGATCCCAAATTGTCTCTATTTCTCTCGCATACCAAGTGTAACAGTTCACTTTACTTCAAAGACTAATAAAATCCTATGAAGTTCACGTAGTGACCAATATAAAACAATCAATTTGAACAAAATGTGGAGAGATTATGTTAAAGAAAATGGATTTTGCATACCATATGTGCTCACTGTATTGTCAATCCCAGAGGGTTTTCCATGGATTATCTTTTCACCCTCAAAAGCCCATTTGTTCAACAACACAAGATCATCTTCTTTATATGCCATCCATCCTCGACGTTCCCGATCGACATCTACAGAACCTGATAAAGCAAGCAGAGCAGCTGAAAGTGCAACACAAAACGCGGCCGATGATCCCAAGCCAGATCCAAGAGGAAGCTCAGAAGTAATGGTCACATCAACAGGCACAAATCTGAAAGCATAGAAAATGAAATGAAGTATGCACAGGCTAACATATATAAAGCCTTTCAGTAATGAAATGCATACCCTAGGATGGAAGAATAGAGCCAAAGAAATGCAGACACTCCAGAGGCGAGCTCGATTTTCGCCTCGGGAATGTTTTGATCCTCAACCAGAGATGCCATCAATTTCAAGCAGTCTGCAGGGCATGGTGTGGGAGTTGAGATTGAACCAACAAATCCACCCAAAGCTTCCTTGATTCTACTAGTTGGCCATAAGAACTCAAGAGCCAGATCCTTCATTTGGAGTTTCACAGTATCATCCTTATCTGATATAACAAAGCATATAAATGGAAGAGGAAAAGTGAGCACAAACACTTCGAGTTAATGAGATGCAGCCAGAGCCCGAGCCCACCGTTAGTAGATATTGTTCTTTTTGGACTTGTCCTTAAGATTTTAAAAGGCGTCTGCTAGGGAGAGGTTTCCACACCATTATAAGCAATGCTTCATTCCCCCATCCAACCGATGTGGGATCTCACAATCCACCCCCCTTGGAGGCCCAACATCCTCGCTGGCACAACACCCAGTGTCTGCCTCTAATACCATTTCTAACAGCCCAAGCCCACCACTAGCGAATTTGTCCTCTTTGAGCTTTCACTTCTAGGTTTTAAAACGCATCTGTTAGGGAGAGATTTCCACACTCTTATAAAAAAATGCTTCATTCCCCTCTCCAACCTCCAACCGATATGGGATCTCACAATCCACCCCCCTTGAGGGCCCAGCGTCCTCGCTAACACACCGCCTAGCTCTGATACCATTTGTAACAGCCCAAGACCACCGCTAGCGGATAATGTCATCTTTGGGCTTTTCCTTCTAGACTTCCTCTTAAAGTTCTAAAACGCGTATTGCTAAAGAAAGGTTTCCACACCCTTATAAGAAATGTTTTGTTCCCTCTCCAACCGATGTGAGATCTCACACCCAAAGATTTTCCAATCATAAGAAAAACAATCTTAATATGCAATGATCAAAGAAGTAGAGATCACAAAGGTAGAGCTGCTAGACATCTTCAACAGTATTTAAATCTGCATCTAAGTTCTCGTCTCTCTTCCTTTTTCTTGAATACTAAGAAGAAGAGTTTCAATCAATTTTCATACATTCAAATGAAGAACACAGAAATGTGAATATGAATACAACATGAACAAGAAAAACACCCAGAAAACTAGAAATAGGAACACACTCAGATTCCAACCCAGATTTACACAAAAACAAGCATTAAAACCCATAAAACGAAATGGGATTGATCGAAAGACCATAGAATTATCATCAATGTTCATATGGGTAGCAATCAATTAAATAACCCACACAAAAGAATCTAATAATCCGCAAATTTACCCTCCAAATCAGAGATTTCAGTATCAAAAACCCAAATAAAAGTCAAACCCAAATGAGAGAATACCTGAAGAACTTGGCAATCGAACTGATGCTGTAGTGTACAGATCGACGGAAGCTGCGACGGCGGTGGATCCATGGACGACGGCATGTTCACCGGCAAGTATGATTTTCCCAGGAGCTCTAGCTTTGACTTCCATTATTTTCTAATGAAATTCAGTAGAAGAAGCTCCCAATCTTTTCTGGGTGCCGCAGCACAGTGAGCGAAGCACGTCGTTGAATTGAAAAGCTGCTAATTTAACAGCTTTACTTCTAGTACTTTCAATGCTCTTCTCAAACATCTGGCGATGATCATATAAAATAAAACAATACTAATTTCTCGCCAAACAAGAGCTTCAATAAAGGTTAAAACTCCCCTTTTTTTTTTTTTTTTTTTTTTCATTCCTAACAAATTTTTATTTTT